GTTATCATTGTCCCTATAAAGGAAGTATGTAACTAATGGTAAAAGGTGAACAAGTCAAAAGTAATCTTTTCCCTCATATTTAAGAAATATCTGAAAACTTTGAGTAAGTGATTTTTATATAAACACTTATTTTTGTCTTGTTTAGGATGTACAGAAAATCCTTTCACCTGGTTGGTTTGGCATATCCAGCAGCTGTCATAGTAACATTAAAGGTGAAATAATTTCAATTATTTTCATTTTATGAAATAGTCATTTAAAAAAAAATCTTCTTAAAATGGTTGGGAGAAGAGAATAGGTCTTTACTGCTGCCTACATATTGGAATATAAAAAATATTCTAACCATTAACAAAACATATTGTGTTCCAAATCATGATGCATTATAGACTTAAATATGATTGATTTACACTAACAAACTATGTCAATGCATATATATGCACGTGTGTGTGCATACACGCATGTGTGATTTTTTTCTCCATGCTTTATTTAGGTGGATCTTGAATTCCATTTTGAGCTGGTACTAGCACTTATCAAAATGTATGTATTTTGTTATGACTATATTATGGAAGAGTTAAATGCATCATCAAAAGATGTTTTAGTCAACATCTATGTTTTAAAAAAATAAAACTTGTATAGAAGAAAATTATTTATAATTTTAAGTCTGAAAAATGCAAAATGTAAGATAAAATTAGGAAAGAGAAAAAAGTTCATCTCTCTCATCTTTGGCTTCTCCAGTGGCTGTCCTGTTCTAACACCCAATTGCAATACTACATTGTTAGAAATAACTAGAGTTGAAACTCTGAAATTAGAAAAGTTACTGGCTCACTTGTGTGTGTGTGTATTTGTACATTATTCCTAAATGTTATTTATACAGAGGCATTTTGTAGGCTTATCCTTTTAAATTCCTTATTTCTATCACCCAATTTGGTTGGGGAAATTTAATCTTATCTCCTATAAAAAAAGCTTCATAGTGGTTTTCTTGCATTTACCAAGAATTTAAAGGATACTGGCAACAGAAGATCTTGGGTTGCTTTATTTCTTATTTATTATATTCCTTTCC